CGATCAGTAGTACTACTGCCGAGCCACTCTTGGTGGCGGACATTGAAATCCCCCACCCAGAGTACATTTTGAGGCCTTGGCGTCCTCAGTACTTCCTCTAAGTGTTGATCAACACGGAAGAGTACTCATTCATTAACTGAGGGAGGATGGAACATAGTAATCAACAGAAGGTTTCTTTGCCCATGTTGAACCTGAAGCCACGTGATTTCATGGGGTACGGAGTCAATGTTGACGACTCCCAGGGCAACTCCCCCTCGACTGTTTGCCACAGTGCCACAACCCCTGGGTCTGTCCTGCCAGTGGTACAGTACATATCCAGGAATGGTGATGGTAGTGTCTGGGACTTTGTTTGTAAGGTATGATTCAGGGAGTATGATTATGTCAGGCTGTTGCTTGACTAGTCTGTGAGACAGCTTTTCCAAGTTTGGCACTTGCCCCAAATGTTAATAAGGAGGACCCTGCAGGGTTGACAGGGCTGTTTCTGCCATTGTCTTTTCCGGTGCCTAGGCCGATGCCAGGTAATCCGCCCAGTTTCATTTCTTTGAGACTTTGTAGTGATTGGTACAACTGAATGGCTTGCGAGGCCATTTCAGAGGAAAGTTGAGAGTCAACCACATTGCTGTGTGTCTGGAGTCACATGTAGGCCAGACCAGGTGAGGATGGTAGATTTCCTTCCCTGAAGGACATCAGTGAACCAGATGTGTTTTTCCAACAATCATTTCACAGTCATCAGTAGATTATTAATTCCAGATTTATTTTAAAAATAAAATTTGAATTCTACCGACTGTTATGGTTAGATTTGAACCCAGGTCTCCACAACATGAGCTGAGTTTCTGGATTAATAGTCTAGGAATAATACAACTAGGCCATTGTCTACCCCTGACATTGGAATCTAAATATTGAAGGGTGTAGGGCATTTTGGAAGGACAGGAGGCAAGGTGGTTTTGTCAGTTAATGGTGATTGTAGAACAATCGAAGAAGGATGACCCAAGTTCAGGAAACCAGGATGTGGAAATGGTTCAAGTCAAGATAAAAATGATAATGGCAAGAAGTTGTGAAAGTGGTTTACAGACGCGTTAATCGTATCCACACTATAGGGTGGGGTATAAAGGAAGAAATAATGTGAGCTTGTCAGAAAGCACAATTATAATCATGGGAGTTCTGAATTTCCAGTCAATAAAAGGCAAAGATCACCTTGATGAATTCATAGCACATTCTTTTGTGGTAATGATTTACAGCATCATGTTCTGGAGTTGATATTGTGCAGTGAGATTGATTATTAATGATATAGTAGATAACAGTGATCGTTTGAGAGAATTTTACATTTTTTACAGGAGAGACTGGATCTGAGATGTTTTTAAAACTTAAGTAAGGCCTGTTGAGGGCTTGAAAGCAGGGCTGGTTAAAGTGAATTGGCAAATTTAGATTAAATATTAGGTCCGTTGGTGTGCAGTGCCAGACTTTTACGGGGAATGATTTTTGGAGGAAGTACAACAAACGTTTACCAGACTGATTCCTGGAATGGCAGGACTTAAGTATGAAGAGAGCCTTGATCAATTAGGATTGTATTCACCAGAGTATAGGTGAATGAAGGGGTATCTCACAGAAACCAGTAAAATTCTAACAGGATAGACATAGTAAATGCAAGAAGCATGATCCCAGTGACTGGGAAGTACTGAATCAAGGGTCATTTTTAAGGATAGTAGGAACTGCAGATGCTGGCGAATCTGAGATAACAAGGTGTAGAGCTGGATGAACACAGCAGGCTAAGCAGCATCAGAGGAGCAGGAAGGCTGACGTTTCGGGCCTGGACCCTTCTTCTACTTATTAGCCTCATCCCAACCCCTTGACCTGTGCGTCCTCCCTGGACTGACCTATCTTCTCCCTAATTCCCCACCTACACTCACCTTTGCTGGCTCCATCTCCACCTCTTTGACCCGTCTGTCTCCTCTCCACCTATCTTCTCCTTTATCCATCTTCTATCCGCCTACCCCTCTCTCTCTATTTATTTCAGAACCTCCTTCCCCTCCCCCATTTCTGAAGAAAGGTCTAGGCCCAAAATGTCAGCCTTCCTGCTCCTCTGATGCTGCCTGGCCTGCTGTGTTCATCCAGCTCTACACCTTGTTATCTCGTCATTTTTAAGGATACTGAGTCGGCCATTCAGGTTTGAGATGGGGAGAAGTTTCTTTCACAGAGTGGTGAGCCTGTGGAATTCTATGCCACAGAAAACAGGTGAGAACAAAATATTGAATGTTTTCAGGATTGAGTTAGAATAGTTCTTAGAGCTAAAGGGTTCAAGGGTTATGTGGAAAAAGCAGGAACAGGTGACGAAGTTGAGTGATCAACCATGATGCTATTGAATGGTGGAGCATGTTTGAAGGCCAAATGGCTGACTCCTGCTCCAGATTTCTACATTTCTTTGGTTCTATGGGATATTTATGGATACACAGACCAGATGCATGAGAATGAGTAAGAACAATTCCAAGGGATGGACTCACTTTCTAAGATTAACTAGAAAGGTTAAAGGTAGTATTAAACTTCAAAAACTATATAATTGTGCAAAAATGGATGGCAGGTCAGAATCTTGGAAAGAAATAGCTTTGAATGGTTAAATTAATAAGAAACAAGAAGTTAGAATACAAGAGATAGCTGGCCAGAAGTATGAATACTTAAAATAAGGTTAGCAAAGTGAACATTGATATTATAATAAGTAAGTCTTAAAAATTATCAGGTGAAAATCAATTCATGGCAGGTGAGTTGAAAGGGTATTTTGCATCAGTTTTTACTATAGAGGATACAAAATGAGGGGTTTTTTGTGTAAAAGTGTTTAAACATTTATGACCACAACTTTAGTGCAGAACTGATGGAAATCCTGGAAAAATTGCAAGAACCATCTTTCACTGAAATTCTGATTAAAAATCTAACTTTACAGATCTGTTAAAAACCTTCTGATGAAGCATCACCAGACCTGAAATGTTCACTCTCATTTCTCTTCACAGATGCTGCCAGACCTGCTGAGCTTTTCCAGCAACTTCTGTTTTTGATTACACTTCTCCTCCTTATTTTAATCTCATGTTCTCTTTAAAAGAAAAATAAGTTTAATTTTGAAATCAATGTCTTTTTAAAGGAGGCAGAAGAATGGGGAGGAACTGAAGGTGAGGATAGGAACAGGCAATTTGATATCTGAGGAGTGTAATGGAATCCAAGAATTTAAGGTCTTTTTTGTGACAAACCAAACTGAAAAAAAACTGAACTTTCTGGTTTCCAGGCAAACCAAGATGAAAAAGAGAGTAGAAATCAAAACCCAAGGTTTCGAGAAAAACTAAAAATGGATATAACCAAATAATAGGGCCAAGGCACAGCTGAGCTCAGATGCTGACTTCAGAAGAGCTAAAGGAGAGGGAGGCTGGATTCAGGAATTGGGATAGGGAAACTGGCAGTTGCTGCAGCTGTTTCTTTTACTTGAAGCTAATATTGATAGATCCACACTATCAAGACCATTATAACCAGAGTTGAAGTGTTTATACAGACGTGAACCATTTTGTTCAGTATTATGCCCATTGAACTCCAATTGGTTTGGATTTGCTATCAACTGGGGATCACACAAAACGCTAGAAACAAAGGGAGCTGGAAATCAATTTGATATGATTCAGTACTTTGAGGTTCTTGATGGTTCAAATTAGTGCTACACCCGAAGTGTGGACTGCCACATAAATCTAGGACTTATTGGTGTTATAGCTGACATTTCCTGTATAATTTATTTATAATTGACCACCATGCCTTATTTCCCACTGAAACTATTAATTTTAATTTGATTATTACAGTAAAAGATCTAAAATGAAATCTTGTCCATTGACTCGTTTTGTCAGGGTCATCTCGCAGTTCATGTCTTTCAGAGTATTGGCTTCATAGAGATTGGAGTAGCATTGACATTATGTGAAGTTACCATTGACCAAGGACTGAACTGGACCCACCATCTAAATACTGTAGCTACAAAAACAGGTTGGAGGCAGAAAAGTCTGCAGGAAATAACTCATCTGCTGACTCCCTAAAGCCTGCCCACTACTTAGGTGGGTGCAATGCCAATGAAGCACATTTGGCTCAATACCATCTAGGAAAAAGCTGCTTACTTCATTGGCAGGCCACCCACAACCTAAACATTCCACCACAGCAGCAGCATTGACAAGATATATTGGAATAACTTACTTTGGTTCTTTAGGTCATGACTTCTAAATCCATAATTTCTATCAAATAGAACAAGGCCAGTGGTTGCACAAGAGCATCTCTTGCAAATTCCCCTCCAAGCCACACACCACCTGACTTGAAACTATCCCGCCATTCCTTCACTGTCACTGGGGGAAAATCCTTCCCCAACTTGTGTGTAGCTACTCACCAACGATTGCAGCAGTTAAAGATGGTGACTTTCCATCACTTTGTCAATGCGACAAAACTGCAGGCCTTGCCAGTGGTACCGACATGAGTGAGTTGAGAAAAAAAGTTCAGAGGGGAACTGGCAGAAAATGGTTCTGAAAGTATTTGTAAAATTAGAACCTGCATATACTGACCAAGGTTCATATTCAGGCTTGATATTCATCACTAGCAAATCACAGCTTTCAGGGATTTCATGAACTAACTGCATATTGTCTCAGTATTACTTGAATTCTGGACAAGATCCATTCTTTGAAATTCATGTGGTTCATGGATGTACTTGTTTCAAATGTTTAAGGAAATTTGCTATGTTAGGCTGGAGTGATTCTGCCAGTTAATTTAAAACAAAATGCTACTGCATTAACCTTTTGTAAACTTTGGTATAGGATTGCACATGAAGGGGAACATAGATTGTTATTGCATGGCAGAAGTTAATATACTGGCACTGATAGGGTTAGTTTTGCTGTTCCATTCGGTCTGTGAGCAGCATTCAATGTGATGTGACACAGTTCTCGCTCCACCCTCATGCAGCTTGAATTTCCCGCATAATAACCAATAGTTCCAAGTAACCAGAGAGGCAGCATCATCCTCAATAACATGGGTGCAGTTCTCAGGCTCTGGCTCTTGGTCTTAGGTAAGGATTCACTTTGATTCCAGTTAGCAGTCATTGCAGTTAGACTCAGTTCTGTGGAGCTAATGGTCCCATTTGTTGTCTTGTTATGTTCCAGGGCCTGTTGTCCCTCCAGAAGTGATTGAGTCTCCTCCAGTTCTCTCCCTCCTGAGAGGACAGACAGCTCGGATCAACTGTAGCCTGATACCGGGAGAGGAGCGGGCTGATTTGGGGCAATAATGTTGGTGTCGGGCAAGAGAAATTTCTGACTTCAGAGGCAACAGATCCAGGAACTTCATGAAAAACAGCCCCCAGTGTTTCAGTGTCGATCCTGTGCAGAATGAAAAACAGTAGAGGTCCTTTGCAGGTCTGGGAACAAGAGGCTCTGAGCTGGAATAAGGCTGACTGTAGTGAAAGAAAATGCCTGCGCATGGCTGTGAGCGTTGAGCTGAGGATCCGCAGAGAAAACCCTTTCTGGAGGCTCAGGATGTTGTAGAGAACCATTGTGGTGGTTTGGTCCAAATTGGGATCGTCTGAACATTGTTTGGAGTCCTTAGGGTATGAGCCTGCCGCAGTGGGCAGGTACAGAGAAAGGAGCTGTGGCCGTAGTAACAGGTTTGTTTCAGAATGTGGTGGAGAGGTCCAGCTGTATTAACCCTTACTCCAGCATCTGCATCTCTTGCTATCCGTGTGTCCGTGTCTATGTCTGAGAGTTTTCTCATCATCTGGGAGCTGATGCTGAATGATTCTGATACTTACCAATGTGTGGTTCTCAGAGAGAAACCTCGGCCCTGGAAATACTTCCTGGGAAATGGAACAACACAGAACGTCCAAGGTAATTGTGAAAGATCCTAAATATTCAGGAGGAAGGGCCGTATCTGGAGAAAGAAACAGGTCACGGTTCAGGTCAGCGCCTTTTGGTCAGAACTGGAAGAAGTTGGAGGTTTAATTGTTGAACAGTTCATCAGCAAAGTCGATTATCTGTACCGTGTCCCGTTTCTCTCTCCACAGAGAAACCTTGGCGCTGGAACTACTACCTGGGAAATGGAACAACATTAAACGTCCAAGGTAATTGTTAAAAATCAGAAATATTCAGCAGGAAGGGCTGCATCTGGAAAGAGAAACAGGTCACGGGTCAGATGCTTGCTGATAAACTGTGTAACCATCCGAGTTGCTCTGGCTCAGCATGGACACGATGGGCCAAATCGCCTCGTTCTGTGCAGAGACCTTTCTCTGACTAGATTAAGGGAGAGCGAAATAGTTCAATGTGCGAGAGAAGGAAACAGAAATAGTGCCCAGAAACACACAAATATAAACCAGACTGGGATGTTCTGTGGGATCAAATGGTTTGCCCGGGATGAGCTTTAATCTGACGGTAACCACTCACCACCTCCTTTTCTATGAGATCCTTTCAGGTCAGATCCTTTTCAAAACTTAATTTGAAGAAAAACGCCCAAAAGACAAACCTCTGTAATCCGAAACCCAACAAGTCAACTACCGAATAAAACGAAACTGATCTTGGGGAAAAAGGTTCATTTTTTTATCATTTCCTGGAATATACTGCTGTAAAGAAACACAACCCAAATTCGTGTCGGAACGAAACTGACTTTGGATCACGGGATCTCATTCTGTTTCACATTGTTCATGTGGGTTATATTTTTCTTGTGTCGGTCATTTGGAACTCGGTGTACCATTTATCAAATCGATCCTGCACTGCTGTCCCGTTGAGTATCAAAGTTGCAAACAGTTTTAATCGCCCCTCTCCTTGTTATCTGTATATCTCTATTTGTTACAATGAAGTGTACTGTTTTGATGTGTTTATTTAGCGAAACCTGAAATCTATCTGACTGCGGATCCCCAGAATGAAGATGTTGGGATTCAGACACTGACTTGTTTGGCCGCGGGATTCTCTCCGAGAGATCTGAACATTTCCTGGATTGTTGAGGGGGATGTCTCGTATCAGGAAGAGCCGGGTTCGCTGACAGTAAACAGTGACAGCAGCTATAACCTGACCTCCCGGCTGCGGATTACAAACCCTCAGCGGGAGCAGGGAGCCACCGTCTCCTGTCTCATTGAGCACAGGACATTCACTGGGTTAGTGACAGCAAGCTTCAGCAACAGCACAGGTAGGTCCTTCAGCACTACATCCCACACTACATTATTCCCAGCTGCAGTTAGTGGAGCTTGAAAAAATAATTTCATTTTCAAACATGCAGTGTTCGAGATAGAATTACGGAACAGAGAGAGTGAAATGCACACTCAGTATTTTAACCGTATTGCAAGAAAATGCACTCGAAATTCCATTCAAATTGACAAATGCCAGCGCTGTATTTGTTGGTAATTATTGTAAATGATGATGGTGATGGAAATCGGCAAAAGCAACCAATCAGTTGGGAGCCGCAGTCGGAAATCTCAAACAAAGTAACTGACCTGGAATCAACTTCCAACATTTGTTTTCACACAGTTTAATTCTGTCAAACAGGTGGGTTCGCTTCTGTCACTCTGTCTGAGGAGGCAATAACCTTGAGAAATATTAAAACGGAACGCAAGCCATAGCCAGTTTCAGCCCTTTGCTCTTACCCCGAGCGGTCTCACAGCTGGTTTATATCCAACATATCCAGAGCGGAGTCGCTCTATGCTTCCACACGAGGCGGCTCGGTAAGATGTGACCATTGACGAAAGAGCAACTCTGGCTTCAGGAAGAAGAGAACAGGAATCAGAACAGGCAGCGTTTAAACGGCACGAAACAGAGGGGTAAATAACAACTTCTAGCAGATGTCAGCAGTTCTAAATGGCACAGCAGGACCGATGCATTGCTGAGACTGAGTGACCATGACTTCAATCCAGGCATTTACAGAGAAAAAGAATGCAGAAGCAAAGAGGGGAATGGACTGGGAATTGAAGTTCTGTCAAGCTATCATCGCGAATGGTCTCATCCTGTGCTCCCATTTATAATTCCCGCGAATAGCCACATACCATTTAACCGGTTGGCAGAATTCTCACTGCGTGTACCAGCCGAGAATAGAGTGAACCTGTTATGTTCTGTGGCCGATATGATATTTACATTCTTTCCGCGGCTTCACTCTGTTATAGCTGTGTACAGGCAGCGTTCAAATCTCCTATTACACCACTATCACTGGCCGGGTATACACTCGACAATCTATAAATCCCAAAAAAACACGAGCTGCATTGCTTCATTACCAAAGTCCGTTTGAGATTTTAGATGCAGGAATGTAACTGCCAGGAAAAGAAACGACCGTCTCCATTCAGTTCAGTCCATCCCCTCAGACAAGCGCCTTTGCCTCGCTTCTATCCCTGCTCATTAAAGCTCAGGTAAGTAAGATTATATCCCGAATTCTCAGACTTCACGTCTTTGAACGAGAGAGAGAGGCAGACAGCGAAATAAATTCCCTGGTCATAATCGGCGCTTTTAAAACAAGGCTTGCCAAAGAAACAGCGAGGGGACACATCGAAAACGTACAAATGGAGCGAATATCCACCGGCAGCTTTGAAAGCCGCTGTGAGCCAATCCTCAGCAGACTACAGGACGCAGCACTCCAGAACCAAAATGTTGGAAATCTGAACTGAAAACAGAAAATGCTGACAATACAGGTTAGGTTGTATCTCTGGAAAGCCAGTCAAACATTTCAGGTGGTGACCTTTCATTCACAACACCAAGGAGAGCAATTCGAAAAGTCCGCGGTCTCCCTCCCCGCAGATGCTGCCGGTTATTTGCAGCCTTTTCTGGGCTTTTAATGCATTTTTAGGATGTGGACATTGCAGGTTAGACCAGCGTCTGTTGTTCATCTGCATTTCCCCTTGAGAAGGTGGTGTTGAGACGTCCTTTTGAACGGCGGTAGTCTATCCAGAATTGGAGCTGGTTAGCTCAGTTGGCAGGTCTCTGATACAGAGTAACACCAACAGCATAGGGTGACCCCTCAGGTTAATCTACCGCCAGTCATATCTCTCTAATGAGAGCAGGACTCTCCTGCCTTTATTGGGAGTAGGAGTTTGGAATGGAGGACGTACAGAATATATTGACATGGCTGTAGCAAATTATTTCCTCTTGCAGGCTGCCTCAATGTCTCAGAGTATGCAGTTTGAAACCAGTCTTGTTAAAAATTTGCTATTTTATCCTGCCAGGCCAAAATACTATGAAAAGGCTGATTAGCAGAAAAGGAGTTAAACGATTGTCCTAAACATATGTCACCCGTTCATGCAGTTAAGATGCCTGAATGTATGGGGTAAGAAGTGGCTTGTCATAACAATCTATAGCTTTATCCATCAATTGCAAACAGATAGCAACAAGGGCGTTTTAGAAATTACAGAAGATGATGTGAATGCTGAAGGCATAAAATTTATTTTCAACAATATTGGTCTGGACAGTCTCCAATTCCAACTTTCAAATTAGATACAATTATACTGACAATGTCCAATTTTGTCTTCTTTTTGAACCACAGCTGGCCGTTTATAATAATAACTGTCAACTTGGAACATTGATAACTGTCACCTATGCGTTGAAAACCAAAAATAATACAAATTATTTTTCGAAGGTACCATTGGTAACAGTACAGCTGTACTTCGACAAACGCGTTGGATGAGGGATTGGGAAAGAGAATAATGGAGGTTCATTTTAAATTAAGTTTGAAATTACTAACAATTTGAGCAGGGAGCTCAAGTTACAATGCCGACTTCAAGCCTGTGTAACTGCAGTAGAAATGGAGGTGTGATTTCAGTAAAGGGATGGCAGTGCCTTGGTTTTCTGCATTCAAGTGTACATGGATAATTTGCTTACTCCTGACTGGCAGTGGTAAAAGTGTTACCGATCATGAAGGATTTGGAGAATATAAACACAGCAGGATGTCTTTGGCTTTAAAGTTAGTTTTAAATATCTGTACAGTTATTCGGTGCAAAATGAAAATATTGTAAGACCATATAATGAAAGGATGTTATTCAATTAAAATGTCTCATAATATGTCTCAGTAACGTGATTCAATATGCTGACACAATGAAGTGTGACTTCCCTTCAGGCAATGACAAAACCATTTCTGAATAATATAACCATTATGGTAAATACTCAATGATGCCATGGAGTTAGCCCTTCAACCATTAAATAACTGCTACACTTCTTTGGGAAATTTTAGTAGAAATGGGATAATGCATATAACATTCCTATTACACAAATTGAAGCAATTTTAGCATTGGTCCTTAATGGTGTTCTAATCATACATTTCTCACAAAGAACTCAATTCAAAAATTCAAGTGACAGAGTAAGTATATTTCTGATTTAATATGTAGTTTAAAGAATATATCTGAAGACCTGAATTTAAAATCATTGAATATTGTGTAGCAATTCTTTTATAATTAATTATTTATAATTAATTATTACTAATTGTTTGATTCATACTTCAATTGCAATTTGAAGGTTTTTTCTAATTATTATGTCCTTGGCCTGCTGAGTCTTATCCTTATTGTATCTTATTGTACCATTTTGTCTTTGGATCATTAAGAGTCAATGCTGTAAACTGACAAATGGAATAAGAAACTGGATAAAATACAATCTTCTTTTATGGTTGAACTAAATATATTGCATTGAAAACAATGCGTAGGTGCTGCATGAAATAATTCGAACAAAAATAACCATTAGAAAAAATCATATTCCACAGGCTGTAAGAATTCAGGATAGCAGGTAGTTAGCCATCTGGAAGAGTAGGAAATAACAGAAAGTGCAGGAATCATCGGTGTTTGTGACACTCTCAAGCCGTTAGTCAGCATAAAGACTATTGCAAGTGATGAGCTGTATAACTAGAGCAGTGGAACCAAACAATGGGGATTGGGGAAGACAAGGAGATATAGTAAATGCAAAGGAAAGGAGAAGGCTTTAGTAAGGCTTTGAACAAAGTCCCTAATGGTAGGCTCGTCCAGAAGATTAAGATGCATAGATCCATGGTGACTTGGCCACATGAATTCAGAATTGGCTTGCCCTTAGAACGAAGGAGGTAGTGGTGTAAGGGTGTTTTTCAGGAGCTGCGTGACTCGTGGTGTTCCTCAGGGATCTGTACTGGAACCTCCGCTGTTTGTGATATATATAACTGACTTGGATGAAAATGCAGATGGTGGGTTAGTAAGTTTGCTGATGATACAAAGATTGGTGGAGTTGTGGATAGTGTAGAGGGTTATCAAAAGATACAGTGGGATATAGATCAGTCGCAGATGTGAGTGGAGGAATGGCAGACAGAGTTCAATCCGGGTAAAGGGATCAATCAAAGATGATTAAAATTACAGAAATTGGCAAAAGTTGCATGAAATATCAGTTCAAGTAATCTTCTCAGGCCAGATTCTAAGAGCTGTGTGTTCTACAGTCAGCCAGAGAGAGATGTCATTCCAGAACTCATAAGGTGCAATGACAAGACTGACTAATGTTCTCATCGTGAAGAAGGCTCCAGGAAGCCAAGGTCAGAGCATGATCAAATTTTGCCTTCATTTAGAGGATGAGAAAAGTGGGTCGAAGACTAATGTTTGAAACTTAAATAAAGGTCATTGCAAGGGTATGAAAGCAGTACTAGCCAAAGTGATTTGGGAGATTATGTTATATAATAGGACAGTAGAGATGAGGTCGCAGACATTTAATGAGATATTTTGTCATTATCAGCAAAGATACACTCCAGTGAGAGAGGATCTAGGAGAAGAATGCACAATCTGTGGATAGCTAAGGAAGTTTAAGATAATATTAAATTGAAAGAAAAAGTGCACAATTCTACAAAGATTAATGGTAAGTCCAGAATCATTTACAATATCTATTAGTGATCTGATTGTGGAAAGTGAATGTACTATAATCAAGTTCGCTGATGATACAAAAATATTTGGGAAGGCAAGTGGTGAGGATGACACAAACAGTCTGCAGAAGGTTTTAGGCAGGTTAGGTGAGTAGGTGAAAAGTTGATTAACGGAATTTAATGTGGGGAAATGCAACATTACCCACTTTGGCAGGAAGAATAGAAAAGATATTTAAATGGACAAAAACTGTAGAAAGCTATGCCACAGAGGTTTTGAGAGTCCATGCCCATGAATCAGAGAAAGCTACCACTCAAGGTTAGCAGGTAATAGGGAAGGCAAATGGAATTTT